GTGTTTATTCTAAGTCTAGTTCAATTGTAGTAGGTTGTCATATTGTACCTTTCAGCTTTCTTAGAAGCAATTGTATTAGGTACTCTGAGTATTCAAGTTAAGTTAACTTGAAAGTGTCGCAACAGTTGAGGCTGTGTGCTACACTGGGATTAGAGTTAATCCTTAGGTTTACAAAGAGTTTTGTAAATGCAGTTTTTGGCTCAGTGATTTTAGTGGAGTTTGGGAAAATCCTACTGAGTAGTAGGTCGTGGTTTTTTTCACCTTTTGAGCCAGGTGTTTTCCACGTAAAAATCTTTGTGCACTTCACTTTCAGTATTTATTATTCCGCAAACTGCTGTAGTTAGAACACTTAGAAGAACCAGGTTCTTCTAACGCGAAAATTAGGTACCACACAAATCACCCCCCCTCTTGTGTGGTATTGACGTTTATAACATCAATTCAATTGCAGAATATTCGACAAGTAGGGGGACTATTTGTTTTGGTGAAAATAAATATTACGTGGATTTATATGAGTGGTTGATATGACAAGACACGTGGATCAGCAAGAAACGACAGCTGGAGAGATGCATTAAAAGAGGCACGAGTCCTAATAGATACGAGCAAATCACCCATGGGAGGAGAAGATATGGTCGCTCAAGTTTAGGTGGTTACATGAAGAGGTACTGGCGGAATGAATCAAGACATTAAAAAGGAAAGATCCATGAATCATCAATTAATGAGCATGAATGATCTCGAACGTTTGCGAATCTCGTGAACAAGTTATGATTACCAATTATAGAGTCTCATTAATATCATTAATGCTCATAATAATTCGGTCATAAAAGGGGAAAGACGTTGTACTTATAGACTCCTATAAAAGGGAAAAAGATATCATTTGTACCTTTGTTTTAAAAGGCAGAATTGGGACTCCCCGGGGCTCGCCCCAGGGCGGAGCACTCGTAAAACGCCCCTGGGCTTATGTGTGGGGCTTAGTTCCGTGAGGCTTACGCCTCGGCCGTCGGGGCTTACGCCCCAGACACGCCCAACACCCAGCGTACAGGGCTCGCCTAATATAACACTATGCAATTGAGTGTAACTAACCTTGTAAATGCACAAATTTTCTTAATAAATCGTTGACTATTCAAAATTACTTTTTTCTTAATCATAAATCATTAAGTTGAGAGTATTTTATGTCATAATTAAAATAAAAATTATTGCACGTTATCCACTAAGACTATGATAGTAAACTTTAAATAAATCTTTCATTTAAAAAATAGGGAAAATGCATAAGTATCCCTCTGACCTATACCCGGATTTCCAACTACACACTTTTTCTTTGCGGAAATCCTATTACCCCTCTAAACTTATTTTAAATGGAATTATTTACACCCTTAACGCTGACAACCAAACTCTTGGCAAGTGGTGAGCTACACGCGCCCCCACATGTATTTTTAGTACTTTTTTTATTCTTTCTTCTTTTTCTTATCCTTTTTTCTTATTTCTTATTATTCTCATTTTTTTGGTTATTTCATTCTCTTTCTTTTTGTTTTGGTCACCGGCGGCATAAGATGGTGGTCGTCGGAATTTCACAAACATCATTTTTTTTGGCGAATTTTTTCCCCGGCGACAGATTTTTATCCCGATCTAAGTGTGTTTTATTTTATATATATATAAATTTTCTTAAAAGTGTAATTTATGTGTGGGAGGAAGAGAAAAAGAAATAAAAACGAATATAGGCTGAGAAAACTTTTTCCAGTTAAAATTTCAATACATCCTTTTTTTTCGGCGTGGGAAGGTTTTCCGATGATGAATTTTTTCCCCCAAAACTGAGTGTATTTTGCTTCGCTTATGAATAGATCTTTTTGAGAGTTTAATTTGTGTGTGAAAAGAAAAAATAGAAGAAAAACGGTTAGACAAAGTCGTCGGTGAATGAATATCCGCCGGAATTAGAAAAGAAACGAAAAAAAAAAGTAAAAGAAAAAAGACAAAGAAAAACGAAAAGGAAAAGGAAAACAAAAGTAAGAAAAAAATGGTAAAAAATAATAAAAAAGGGCAAAATGCATAAGTACCCCCCTGACCTATACCCGGATTCTCAACTACATACTTTTTCTTTGCGGGAATCCTATTACACCCTAAACTTATTTTAAATGGAATTATTTGCACCCTTAACGCTGACGTGGCAGAGTGTGTGAAAAAATTATTTTCAGATTATTTTTTATTCTTTTTTACCATTTTTTCTTACTTTTTTTCCTTTTCCTTTTCCTTTTCCTTTGTCTTTTTTCTTTTACTTTTTTTCGTTTCTTCTCTAATTCTGGCGGATATTCATTCACCGGCGACTTTGTCTAACCGCTGTTCTTCAATTTTTTCTTTTCACACACAAATTAAACTCTCAAAAAGATCTATTCATAAGCAAAGCAAAATACACTCAGATTTGGAAAAAAAATTCATCATCGGAAAACCTTCCCACGCCGGAAAAAAAAATGATGTATTGAAATTTTAACTGGGAAAAGTTTTCTCAGCTTATATTTATTTTTAGTTTTTTTGCTCTTCCTCCCACACATAAACTATACTTTCAAGAAATTTTTTTTTATATATAAAACAAAACACACTTAGATCGAGATAAAAATATCGCCGGAAAAAAAAATTCGCCGGAAAAATGGTGTTTGTGAAATTCCGACGACCACCATTTTATGCCGCTGGTGACCAAAACAGTAAAAAAGAGAATGAAATAACCAAAAAAAAAATGAGAATAATAAGAAATAAGAAAAAAGGATAAGAAAAAGAAGAAAGAATAAAAAAAGTACTAAAAGTACATGTGGGGGCGCGTGTAGCTCACTACTTGCCAAGAGTTTGGTTGTCAGCGTTAAGGGTGCAAATAATTACATTTAAAATAAGTTTAGGGGGCAATAGGATTCTCGCAAAGAAAAAGTGTGTAGTTGGGAATCCGGGTGTAGGTCAGGGGGGTACTTATGCATTTATAATTTGAAAATCATTTTTTCTTGCTTCTCACTCTCCTTCGGGAGAGTGAAATACACACACTCTCTCACGTCAGCATTAAGGGTGCAAATAATTTCATTTAAAATAAGTTTAGGGGGGTAATAGGATTCCCGCAAAGAAAAAGTGTGTAGTTGGGAATACGGGTATAGGTCAAGGGGGTACTTATGCATTTTCCCTAAAAAATATTTATTTATTAACTTTTGTTATGTCTTTATTATACAATAGTCCATAATTGTTTTATAATTATTTTCCTAAATATTATTTTTTTCATGTTTACGTGATACAATACTTATTAATTTAATAGCTTAGTATTAGCTATCAACTATTTACAAATAAATAGTTATCATGGTATTGTATGGTGAATTATGTGTCACTTTATTAACTTGTTGAAACTTAAAAATAAATGGTGCTAGAGAATCATATTTAAATTGTGAACAATGCTTTTATATAAATTCTCTTTCAAATAGAAAGCATATCAAATAAAAGAAGTATTTTATAAAAAAATAACAAATTATAATATTGAAATTCTTTTAAGATTCATTACTCCTTAAGAGATACGTATAAAATTTCGTATTGAATACATTACTTTTGTTGTTTGAGTTGTAACGATATTGCAGCTAATTTGCATATTATGATATATGTCATACTTATCGTATTATTCATGGTTGAATTATAATTTATAAATATTTTAAATAGATTATTTATTATAATTTTGTGATTTTTAATGTAATTTTTATAAAAAATTCTTGAAATTAGTAAAATTTAAAGATCTGTGGGATTTACGCCCCATGTCTCAGGGCTTACGCCTCGCCTCGTCAGAGATGAAACGCCTCGCCTCACGCCCCCGCCTTTTAAAATATTGATTTGTACAGACTCGTTCTGATTATTATTGGAATACAATTACTTTCTTTTGCTTACTATTGGCTATTTTTACTATCTCATATTCTAATTTCCTTTCTTATCACTAAGTAAATATAGAATTTCTTGATTATTAGTAGCCCGAGTACTTCTTAAAATAAGCTTTAACCGAATTACATAATTTTTGGTTAAACAGTCCCACCGTTGTTCCTATGTGCCAAAATCTCATACAAAACTTTAGAAAATCACTTATTACAATCTCAGATAATTTAAGCTTTAATTAGCAGTTTAGCACACATGCTTTTCGAAGAAAATCTTTTATAAAATAGGAATTTTCCGGTTACCTCGAGCTAGCTTAGCGAAATAGTGCTACAAGGTCAATTTCGTGCTCAGAATGCTCAATCTACAATATTAATTACTATCCAACATAGCCACAAATGTTGGGTTTGGACCTAAGCCAATGGCAACTTAACTCCATCACATGGCCATAAGATTGAGTTATGGCTCAAGCCTCCTCCAAATGATCCAAACCAACCACATTTAGTTTATCCACATCCTACTCAAGTCACAAACTCATGCTAAAATGACAGAACTATCTCTAGTGATCAAAATGTCAACTTCTTGCTTTTTTGAAGAATGTGAATGAAGTTTGAAAATTTAGACAAAATTATGAAATTTTGTGGGTACGACTCATGATATATAAATATTATTTTATTTTTAGTGATATGAATTTGTATTCATTAAAATCTCATGGAATATTTAAAATCAAGTATTCAACAATTTTTAATTTTTTAAATTTCGTACTTTGTCAAATTACGTCTCATGAATTAAAAGGGGCAATTTTTTTATTACTAAAAATTATATGGTCCCAAATGCCCTTGGTCCCATCCGTTGACTATCAGTCTCAGCTTATTGTGATCTGGGTAAATTCGTAAACTCACATAATATCCAGTTCGAGAAAACCCGCTAACAGACAACACCACAAGCGGGTCGAAGCACCAGCTAATTTCCAACAACGGATAATGCCACGTGGATACAATTAGTACGACGTGTCAAGTGGATTACGCTGATGACAACCGCACCCGAATATCCCCACCGACGGAAATGAAACTCAATTCTCACTTTCCTCATTTTCCCGAAAAGTATAAATACCTCTCATTTCTCAACCCTTAATTTTTTTCCTTGCCCTAGACTCTTTTTTCTTCAGCCGCAACATGTTACTCTCAGCTCAAATCCATAAATTCTCTCTTGTTTTCCCTTCAAATCTTCTATTTATCCGTAAAATCAGCTCAAATTAGCTTTTATTTCAGCTTAAATTTGTTCAATTCGCAGTCCATTTGATATGGTTGTGTTGAATTTATGTGAGGGTTTTGTTTGGTGGGGTTTGGTGAGGTGATGGAAACTTTACAGGGTTCTGTTCTGGTGGAGGTGGACGTGTCTAAGCTTATGGGATCGGAAAGTTTCAGCGGCCGTGCTCCTAAATTGGAGAGGTCCTCTGTTGTGACTGCGCCTTCTGTTGATAGGACCAATGATTTAGTCAGACGAAAAGGTATAATTTCCCTTTTTACATTTTCCGGTTGGATTAACTTATATACCTGACAGTTTAAAAGGTTTTTAGATTATTTGTGGGTTTCTATTCATGTTTGATATAGAAAGTTATCTGTAATTGATTATTAAGTGATCTGGTCATGTAAATATTCACTGTTACTGTCTAAAAGTTGGATTTAAGTTATATAGACTGACAACGTAGTAATCCTCAATTTTTTTACACCATCAGTATAATTTAACTATTACAGTAGGTTACTTACCATTTATTTTGAGGTTACCGTTATTAAATAGAGTTACCTGCAATCACCTTATGATGGACTTGATTGTGTAAATATTTTCTGCACCATCAATTCATAGAATTTAAACACTTTGGGGTTTAATATGGCTATTTTTTTTCTCCTTACTAGTAGAACTTTAGCTTGTGATGGCTAAAAGCAGAGCTTTTTCATTTTCTCCATTTTGGGGTAAAAGTTAGCTTTGCTCGTTATGTACAGTCTAGGAAGGTTTAGTGTTAGTTTATTGCAAGATTTTCTGGATGGGTAGATATTATATTTGCATATTGTGTTGAACTAACTGAGACAGCTAAAACTGTTAGCCTCAAGTTAAGATATTGACGAATTTGTTTATAAAAAATTTACGGCTGAGACAGACTGAGGAGGATACCCGGTCTTCATGGGAAATACTTTGGGTCAGCTTAGTACATTGATCTTTCAGGATTTGAATGATATTACTATCTGTTATTAGCTGGGTATTGTCAAGAAATGTAATGTATACTATGGTGGAATTTACTAACTGGTCAATTATGTAGTTCATCACACGGCAGTTGAAATTATTAGTGGAAAGGGTGATTTGCTAGTAATAAGACGTCATATGCGCCTTAGAACATTTCATGTTATTTCTAATTCTCGGAACCCATTGAGGCAGAGAGCACAAATGCATGTATTTGTTTTATTTTAGCATTTCTTTTGAAACACTAAAGCAGGTAATGTTCAAACCTGGAAACCTGTAAGTTATACTGCTAATGGTGCATCCAGTTTAACATACTATTTTCCCAATATTATTATCTGAGGTGTGATTTGTGCCATTAAAACCTCAGAGTTAGCTTTTTGGAGTAAGATGTCCGAGAGTGAATTCTCTGGTCATCAATCCATACATAGTGCCGAGGATGCTTCAGAAGACCACAGTTTCAGGAGCATAAATACTAAGCTTCCATTGACACTTGGGTTAGAGGCTACTCAATCACATCGGATTTTTGGGAAGGTGGGCAGAAATAGTATTTCTAATTCTAAGAGATCAAGGATAGTGCATATGGACGTTTCTGCAAATAAAATTGGTGAAGATGGAAAAGGCTTTAGTACTGAGCTTTCAGCAAATCCTACAAATTGCAAAAATGGAGGTAATGCCCAATATACATGTATATTCTTCATCACAGTTATCCATGTGTTCTTATGAATTGGCTGGGACCAGTCTTAATTTTATGTATGGCATCCACTCGCAGATGGCACTGGAAATGCCTACGGGTCATGTATCTATTTTTGATTTTTCAAGTCTGTGTAATGGTTTTAATTGCTGTTTCTGAAAATCACTACATTCCAATGATGCCTTGTGTAAGTTATGCTTGAAAACCTTAAAGAAAGTAACATGTGGTATTAGTTTGAGAAAAATAAGATTCTAATAGTTCCCCTTTCAAGAAGTGCAAGCAGTCTACTTAGTAAACTAAATATTTGCCCTTTGGTACCTCTGAGGAACCTATTCATGTTACAAGGACATTGGGCGTTGCCCCCACGCCTTTCCCTCATTTCCTTTATAGGCTCCGCAAAAAATTGTTCATTATGAAAGTGATATGCTTCTTTGTCACCTACATCTTTGAAAACATTGGTGGCTACCCGCTCCTACACAATTCAGAGTATAGAGAGTATAGAACAAACGAGATTCAACTTTACTGTTGGACCAAACTACAACTAGCTATTTATTTTAGTTGTCCCAAAAACAAAATTGGTTGCAAAGTTGCAACCTTATTGTAATATATATGATAGTGTTGCACCCAAGGGTATGGCTTAGCTGTCGATGAAGTTGGAACAAATCTCGAAAGACCAGGATCCAAATCCCAATAGAGGGGAAAGGTTAGGTGATTTCTTTCCATCTCTCTAAACCTTGGTGGATAGAGTTACCGGATACCTATGTTGGTTGGAGGTAGCAGCTACCTAGTAGATTGTCCAAGGCAAAGAAAAATGTAGGGAAATGCCAAGGTCGGTTGGGGTCTTAAGCGCAAATCATAATTAATGTGTATATTGTTTAGTGAAGAGAAGCGCAAAAAATATAAAATATTTATTATTAGATTCAAAAGTAATAATAAGCACCAAGAAATTTTTTATGAGCATTGAGCAGAGGAATTGAAAAAACTGCAATTAGGTGAAGTATAGTAAAATCATGGATATCATATTTAAAACCTTTTAAATTTTTTAATTAAATGCAAAGATTTAGTTTTAAGATTCATTTTTATGTTAACATTCTCACCCGTAACAGTTTCTTACAATTGATATGTTGTTTACCTGCTATATTTATTCTTTAGTATCCTCTTCTTCAATACAGAGCTCATGAACTTTGAGGAGCACGCCTTAATGTTTTCGTGCATGAGCTGAAGCACCCCTATGCAAGATACATACGTACCTGCTTTGCATCTAGTTTTAGTGCTTAAGCGCGCAAAGGTGCACCTTTAACCCCCCCAATAAAAAAACACTGATGTATAAGAAATATAATAATGGTACATGTAGCTTACTCTAGCCTTCCTTTGCCTTGGATCATGTTTTTAATATGGAGAGCTAGACTTCATTGTTCTCCTTTTTCCCCTTTTTTCATATAGAAGATTCAAAAGAGATTTATATCACTTGTATTTAAAATATTTATATTTTAGACAAAGCTCATAATTAATTGTCAGGAGCTTGCTGCAATTCAGTTGTTTAATTTTTGCTCAAAAGCTACATGCCCCTTATTATCCTAAGCCTGGAAGACCTGTATGGATAAGATTGCTTTTAAAGTAACTGCAGCTTGGATCATCTCAACTGACTGTAACACATAATTAAAATTACTGTGTGGATAGAATCTAGGATCTCGATACACCAGGAAAGGCTTGCCAAATGTATTATCACATGGGTAATATCATACATGGAATGCTGTAAAGATTGAATGAGAAATCCAATCAGCAATCTAGTTTTTTTTCGCATTTTCTTTCTCGGAAGCAACTTCAATTGCGGATAGCAAATGTGCAAAAGTGCGGAGTTGCTATATATCCTGCCATAAATTTGACTAATGTTGAAGCTAAATTTATATCTTCTATGACATTAAAGCTAAATCGCTTTTATTTCCAAATAGGTCCATGGTTGTTGTGTTGCCTACTGACTCACTGCAGTGCTGACCTTTGTACGAAGTGCGTTGCTGATGAATCAGCTAAAATATATTGCTGGTTGTATCTTTTAGGCTCTTAAGGAGTACAGCTAAACCACCAGAACAGAAGCTGCATTACTCATTTAATAGAAGCTTAAAATGTGTTTCTAGTTTAGCTTGTCTAAATGCCTCATGTGCTAAGAAATGTTTTAGTTCATTTTCAGTTTTGCTAAACCTTATAAAGAGTCATAACAAAGACCAATGAGGTCAGATGTATAGTACTAATTAAGCAATTCCCCGTCTTCCATCTATTTTATAAGATATTAAAGATATTCTAAAAGAGATATGGTATTAAATGATTAACGAAGTGCCTGCATGGCCAAGTGGTAAGAGCATAGTGCTTGATGTGTGGGTTAGACGCACGTTACGAGTTCGAACCCTGCCACAAAGAAAAGCTTTGTATTTACGCGGAGGAGGGTTTAAGGACGGCGTCCGCTGAGTTTTGAGTTCAAGAATTTCAAGAGAGAGATTAACAAAGTATTTTGAAGGATATAACCCATTTTCTCTGATCTCATTGGACCTCCTGTCTGTACTCTATTGAAATTGTCCACTTGTTTGCAAATTGAAAGAATATACTTGCAAAATGTAGATACCCCTTAGCACTTACAGTGACAAATATGCAGCAGGGAGTTGGAATCTTCTACTGATAGATTAAGCTGATGAAGGGACTGTTTTAATATTTATTTAGATTTTCATGCCATTAACTCTTGAAGGGTGGCGTAATGATTTCCTGTTCAGCTTTCATTCATTCTTTTCAATTTGTTTTTGCGGTAGAAATATCTTTGAACTTATTTAATTGTAATGCTTTCTCGAGTTATCTGTTTTGAAGTATGTAAATGTATTAATATATCAGCTTTGTGTTTAAGTTTTTATTTGAATACTTCTAAAATATATAAAATGGTTCTAGTAAAATGATTTATTCGTGGAATCTATTCTAACTTTGTCAGAGAGGACTCAAGTGGTTAAGCAAAGGCAGAATTCTAGTGGCAAGCGAAGCGATAGAAGAAATGGCAAAGTTACTAAAAGTAATTTCTCTTTAAAGAGCTTGGTTGGCTTCGGTTCAGCTGCTGGAGGAAGAAACTTTCTTGGTATGTATTATTCTGTTTCTTCCAAATACTTCAGAAGAATTACCATTCCGTGTGTCTTCTAGTACTAGGTTTACGACCAAAGAACTCTGTTCTTCTTCTTCTTCTTCTTCTTTTTTTTTTTTTTTTAAATTTAAACCTGCATTCCAAGTTTTTAACTATGAAAAATATAAATCAAACTTTATTTTTTAACCTTCTGTTTTTGCCACTTACACCTGGCTTCCGCACTTTCCTTTTCCAAGGTCATACGCTGGATTCCCTTGATGGTGCACTTGTTTCCCTTTAAGATGTTTAAAAACTGAAAACTGTTAACTACAGTTTAATTTCTTCCTATGTCATTTCTTTTCTTTCGGAATCTTCACGTTCTTTAAACATGGTTAATTATCTAGTAACCATGTGTTTTTGTTGCTGAGAGCTGTATTTGAGCTGTAAAATTATGGCTTTGCCATGTAACACCATTTATCCTAAACCAATGCACCAAATTCTTTTCCATCATCTGCAAATTCTTCAATTCAGATGCTAAAGAGTTTCCTTTTGCCTCACAGCAGCATTACTTCCCGACCATGAATATTCTTCTTTTGTTGGTGGACTGATTTTCATGATAACTGTACTATTGACCAAGGATATTGTTGGTTCACTTGGTAATTCTTCATTAAGTCCCAAAAGATGTAAAACATACATTTGAGACAAACGTTACTTGATAATCTTTGTCAAATATATCTTCTTAAATACTTTTTGCACATGCATGTTTGTAACACGTTCTTTCAAATGAAAGATGTTTTGCTAAGCATCATTGGTTCGGGCATGTGCATCACGACGTCAATGAAGGCCAAAAATACTTACTGCTATAACTTTAATTTGAATCAAATGTTTATTTTGCATAGTCATTTCTGTGAGGAGATATATAAGCCAAAACCTACAAGAAGTCTCAAGTCATGGCAATCTATTTATACTAGATGTAATTTTATATAAGATACTCTAACTACCTAGCCAAGTGAAAGGTTGCACTTTCACACTAGCAGACAGTGTGATATACTTGTTTTATGCATCTTTTGGACTCAGAATTGTCTAGGTAATAAGTCAGTGCAATGCATCTGATCATGTCAATACAATAGACCTGCATTTGGCAAAATAGCTCGTGTAAAGTATGTCTGATTTGTGGTACCCTGACATTTAATCCTTGACTTGTACATATTGTTAGATAAAATAGCTATCTTAAAGTATGTTCTTTCTAGCTTTTGCTGTATCCTGGAACTTATTCGGTTGATCAACAACATTCTTTGGTCGTTCTTGGTGTTAGCATTCACCAACTGGTTATATACATAGATGTTCTGAGGAACTGACAAGGGATATCTGATTCAGGAATCTATGGCTTGAAATCTGATGTCATGGATGTCACAAAAGATGTAGATGATCTGCCTTTGAGGGAACTACTTGATGGCAGTTATAAATGTGCACCTTCTCCCAAAGATAAGGGAAACAAAGCTTCAAGTTCAAATGACAGTCTCATGCAGTTGGTTAGAGATGCTAACTCCATGCTTCGACTTCAGAAGTCTGTACAGACGCAGAATTATTCTTGTGTTGATAGCAGTGTCTCTTGTGTCCATGCTTATACTGGCCCTTCTTCAGAAAGTCGAGATGATGGAGACAAGGAAGAGACCAGGATTGATAATCCGTCTTCTTTTAATCAGGTGAGTTTTTGAGGTTATTTGTTACTGAAACTGAATCTTGACGGTCCACTTGGTCAAGCAAGTCTGCTTCATGTCCTAGTATTCTTGATTCTGTTTTTGGTCAAGCAAGGCTGCTTCATGTCCAAGTCTGCTTCTTGATTCTTTTAAACCCCTATTGTGTACTGGATCTGGATGTATGAAAATTGAAAAGCATTCTTATCCACGGAACTGAGGCTTGTCAAAACCATAGAAACCTAGATCCTATTATTCTGGTTTGGTAGCATCTATGCAAGTCGTATTCTTAAGAATGGAGGAATTACTCCATTTGTTCTAAAAGGAATGGTGGAGCTTGAAGTACGAGGTGAAACCATCTATTTTTGGTATGCATTTGGACATCAATCACTTTACTTTTTTGGATAAAATCTACATATTAGAAGCCTTACAAAAGTACTACAAATCACAATCAATTACAACTATAGTTACGAAAAGAATAGTTGAGAAAAATGTAGCCAAGCGAGAAACTGACTCTTCAAATACCAATGTCATATAAAAATGGGACATACATAGTGTTTCTAGGTTCTCAAGGAAAAACAAGAAAATGCCATTAACTTTAAATGCTCACCGCCTATGTATTTTCCCCTTTTCTTCTCATAGGTACAGGAACATTGTCGCAAGGTCCAAACAGTTGCGACAATGCTTCATGCTCCATCATATACGCCAACGGATGTGTTGGAGCGCCTTGCGCTTGCTCCATCCAAGGATTTAGATTCTTTCCTCATGGACACAGTCAAGCCTGCATCTTCAAGAAATTGTAGTGATCTTCGTCTAGGCAAGCCATCATCTCAGCGAAATGGTTTGCCTCCCTTTCCTTGGTCACATACATACTCTGGGCATCCTAAAACTGTTCCTGATTCAGCTAAATTATCTACAAGTAAGACGGTTTGCCAAGGCAGATGGGTAAGAGTGGAAAACACTTTGACTCCGCTGAAAGGTTCTACTGGTTTCCTTGTGGAATTGCAATCACTCACTGACAATCACAAACTAGTTCCAACAGGAGTTCAAGTTTCAGAAAATGTAAATGCTTCAACAAACTCTGATACCCTTACTGTGTGTGAAAGGATTTCATCGTCAATTGGAGCCATCAGCACTTCTGAAGTGCCCCCGGGTAATTTTCTCTGTGGCTCGAGTACGGAGTTGCTACAGTTTTTGAATGAATATGCAGTTTCTGCTTTCAGCACTCTGCTAGATGGATAAAAGTGTACATTTGTTGCGTGGTCCACATTTCTCTTGCTTTCTGATTGTTTGATGTATCCCAATTTCGATATGATTGTGCTTAGATGTGCGACCTGTGGGCGCTAACGAAAGAGTTATCCTAATTTGAAATCTATCCATCACAAGTTTCTGGAATGATTTATCTGCTATTAGTATGGATAGAGATTTCATATGGGTCAACCCGTATTCTTTGCATTCTTTGAGTTTCTATGGAATATCCATCACGTTGCATAAGTTGCTTTATTAATTGCTAGTTTGTATAATAGGTCACCAAGCATCATGTCTAAAGAGTATTAGATCTTGACAAAATCATACTGCATGATATGAAGAAATGATTCAGTATATGCATTGGTGCACGTTCTCCATTTGGTTCCCAAGAATGTTAAATCTTGTCAAAACTCTTATCTCATGCATGTTGTGCAAGACGTTTTTATCCTTGCAAAGCTCATTATATATCTAATGGTAGCAGCTGACTCTCCAAGAATATTGGTTGCTGCTGAGACACTTTGCGAGATTGCGACGCATTCATTGAGGCAGAACACTGAAGAAACAGTGAAGTTGCTGAAAAGACCTTGTCAGAAGGTCATGAAAGCTTGTAAGTTGACGGAGAAATCTGAAAAACAATCCATAGCACCAAAACCAGTGGTGGGATCAAATAATCTGGTTGAAATTGCTGATGGGATACTTCCTTCGAAGAAAGTTCGTCTTTCAGTCAACTTTAGAAAACCTGAGCGGAAAGGACCAGTACCTTGTTCAGCTCAATCAATAAGATCATCTCCTGTCGAATCTTTTAGGGACTCAGAAGGTTTCAGTACCAGCTTTGTAAATAAACCATGTATGATTCCCCCATACACAAGGGTGATGGATAAGGCTTGTAGTAGTGAGCAGAAGCTGAGGAAGGTAGCCAATGGAGTGGAACCTAGGAGATGACAGAATGTTGGACTGAGCTCATTATGGTGTTGGAGCAGACAAGGACCCTTACTGTTTGCATTTGTCTATTCCTTCTAACTGCTGTTAGACATGCAAAATATGTAGGATTTGTATAGCCTGTCTCACTGGAAGAAATGAATGTTGTAATCTTATGCTGGGTTGGGGGGGCCATTGGGCTTGTACCATTACTTGTAAGATGGATGCCAGATACATAGTTTCGGCATTGCCTCAGTGTACATCATTGATGAGGCAATAGTAGAAAAGTTCTCTCTTTAGGCTCTGGTTTTCCGGCCATTTATTATGTACGTGTAAATGTATTCATCATGTAATATCACTGCGCAGGACATTTTCATACTCTTGTGTTTGTTATAGAATTTTTAATAGGTCGTCTTATTTTATCTCCCCCGTGGTTTGCTCAAAGGATGTAACTCATTGCTTATGGAAAATATAAATGCTCAATGATTATTTACGTATTTACGTTTTGCTTAAAACCCTTCTCGGTGTTCTCTAACGAATGATCCTTACACTCTGAAAAGTTTGAAACTATTATCACTATAATACCTGGCATAAAGAAGAAATTTTGGGCCTTTTGAGTCCTCTATGCATGGCTCGGAATGGAATGACAATAACGAACCACCGTCACTATTGTTAGCGGCAGAGCTCTGAGGTTATGCTTTGCCAGAGTGTATTATCCCTCAATTCCAAACATTCGGCTCGCTCTCAATATCAACTCATCAAAATACACGTGAAATCACGCAGGGTAGACAAAACAAAGGAAAAATGACTTCAAATCACCCAAAAGAAGTTACAAATAAAAAACCGCTGTGCGTCTGCCGGGAGTCGAACCCGGGTCTATTGCTTGGAAGGCAATTATCCTAACCGTTGGACTACAAACGCTTGTTGTATGACAATCTCTAACAGCGGTTTTATCACGTTACTTATCAATTCACTTTCATTGTTTGGAAAGAGTTGAGGTAGGGGAAAGGGAAATATTGATACGAATCAGGGCTCTAGAAACAAACGCATGTTGAGTAAAAAGACAACCTTAAAACGTCTTTTATTTATTTTTCCCTTCAAGAAAAACGGATTTCTGTTATGTGCTAATTTACACAAACAGAAGCATCTTCTTTGTTGGTAAGTTAACAGAAGTCCACTTATAGAAGAATATGAATATTCAGTTCTAACTAAGAAAATGTAACAACATAACTCCTTTGTCCTTGTACAGGTACCAACACCTTATTCATTTTACTTGTTGCCTGAGCGTAATGTGAATTAAGTTCCACGATTACTTTTCACTTTCTGTTTGAGTAATTGTTATGTCCTGTCTTGTCACATTTGATGTTCGTAACTTAAAAACAAACAAGATAAGTAGTTGATATGAAGGCAGGCTTAGCTAAGATTTAAGAGGGCGGTGTAACGAACCGACCGGTCGTTTTAAGCTCTTGCGCGTCGTTCGGCAGTTTGAGGCCATGAGTACCTTCACTTTAGGTATTAAGACTTGTACGCGTGGTCGGAATTGAAATTCGGGAAGGTCGGGGTCGATTTGGAAAGAGAATTCTTATTTCGGAAGCTTTAAGTTGGAAGAATTGGCTAAGTTGTGATTTTTGAGTAAACGACCTCGGAATCGGGATTTGAAGGTTCCAACAAGTTCGTATGATGATTCTGGACTTGGGCATATGTCCGGATTGGGTTTTGGATGACCCGGGAGCATTTCGACGCCTATTGTGGAAGCTAGCATTTTAGAAGAATTTCATAAGTTTAGGTTGAAGTGCATTTCAAAGTAATCAATGTCCGTTTTGGGATTCCGAGTCTGGGAATAGCTCTGTATGGTGATTCTAGGTCCGGAAGAGGATTCGGAGGTCCATAGGTCAGTTTGGGGTCATTTGGCTAAAGTTAGAAATTTGAAGGTTTTTGAGAAGTTTGACCAGAAGTGGACCTTTTGATATCGGGATCGGGATCGGAATCCGATTCCGAAAGTTGAAATAGGTCCGTAATGTCGAATACAACTTGTGTGCAAAATTTGAGGTCAATCAGACGTGATTTGATAGGTTTCGGCATCCAATATAGAAGTTGATGTTCTAAAGTTCATAAAGCTTGGGGTATGATTCATGACTTCGGCGTTGTTTAATGTGATTTGAGGCCTCAAGCAAGTCCGCGTTATGTTTTGGAACTGGTGGGTGTGATTGGACGGGGTCCCGGGGGCCTCGAATGGATTCCGGGTGGTTAATGGATCGAACTTGGAATTCGAGAAAGAGCTGAAGTAGCTAGTGTCTGGTGCAATCGCACCTGAGTGAAAAGGGCCGCAAGTGCAAGCCAGCAGGTGCGGCGTTATGGTCGCAGAAGCGGTCCTAGACCACCTGGGCAAAGGGCCGCAAATGCGGAGCTGGGGGCGCTGATGCGCATCTGCAGAAGCGGATAGGGCATCGCAGAAGCGGGGTTAAACCTTTGGCGTTGGACCGCACGAGCGGTCAAGGCTCCGCAGAAGCGTGACCGCAGGAGTGGGTTTTTGTCCGTAGAAACGGACTTGGCTGAGCTTGATTGAAAGTCGCACCTGCGATAATGTCCGCAGGTGTGGAGCCGCAGAAGTGGCTAGTGGACCGCAGATATGGGCAGAATGGTTCTTTTAAAATTGGGATTTGGCCCATTTTCTCTCATTTTCTCTTGGTTGGACGATTTTTGGAGAGCTCCAAGTGGAGATTTCATCATTCAAGTAAAGATAAGTAATTCCCACCTCATTTTAAGTTAAATATATGGATTTTTAAGGATTTAAACATGAAAATTGGTGGAAATTGTGGAGTTTTTGGTAGAAAACCTAGAAATTTATATTCTTGGATTTTGGCCACGAAATTGGACGTGGAATTTGGAATAAGTTATATATTTATGTTCCTTGTGTTATGGGTAAAGTTTATTTTCGAAAATTTTCCGAATCCAGCCACGTGGGCCCGAGGGCGATTTTTATCAACTTTTCGTTTGGGGTTAGAAATTGTTATACATTGGATTATTATGAGTATTTGAGTATATATTTATGGGTTTGCACAATTATTGACTGGTCTTGGAGCCTTGGCATCGGTTTGAATCGTCGGAAGGGCTTGAGAGCTGAATATGGAACTTTGAGGCGAGGTAAGTCTCCTTTCTAACCTCGTAAGAAGGAATTAACCCCATAGGTTAAATAATTTGATATGTGTTCCTATTTGCAAGGGTTACGTATTCACGAGGTGACGAGAGTCCGTGCGTAGCTTCTATTATGCTTAAGTCCGGGTAGTCTAAGACCCAAATCATGCTATACTTGCGATGTCTGCAACCTTCTTGTTAATTTGATTGTTTAAATCACATTGAACTTGGTAAAGGAATTTTAAAAGGATAAAATTCATTTTCTAGACCGTTAAATGAGAATTTGCATTTCCTTGAACAATTTCCCCTTAATAGATTCTTGATTTTGTTGTTTGAATGTGTTTATCTTTTTGTGAAGCGGGCCGAACGCCTCAACAAATTTAATAGATGCATCTATGGTTCGAGCCGTTCGACCCTCGGTAGTGCACATTTTATATTTATATGTTGGATCGGCGACATCAGCATGATTTGGGCCTGATTGAATTGATTGCTTTGGAAATTATGATAAATGATATTACCTCTTTGTCTTAAGATAAATTGTTAAATTATGAGAAATAAATTTGGAGATTTCTTTGGTATAAAAGAATTTCTTACTTACTTCATAATATTGAGCTTACAGCCGTTCTATACAACCCATGTTTAAATTATATTTTTGGTATTTTACTTATAGCCCATAGTAAGTATCGGAGTCGACCCCTCGTCACTAATTTTTCGAGGTTAGACTGGATAATTACTGGGTACGCGTTGTTTTTGTACTCATACTACACTTGCAGTATTGTATAGGCACACACACACACACACACACACACACACATATGTATATATAGTGGCCTTGTGGGCGCAGCAGCGTGGTTAATGCGGGGACTTAGGTGAGCTGCATTCCATATTATGACTCGCAGTCAGCAGAGTCTCCTTCATAATATTTAAATTTTCTTCCCTGTCTAAATTTGTATTTAGGACAGATGCTGTATTTTATTCTATTTCCTAGTTGATGCTCATGCACTTGTGACACCGGTTTTTGGGATTATTATGGATTATTCAGTATTGAGATTGTTAAAAAAATTATTATTTACTCTGCAATTTCCATCTTCAACTATTTGGTTGAAGGAAAACTATGATTTCAAAAATATTAAAATGAGGACCTAAATTAAGTATTTAGTGTTGGCTTTCCTGACAGTGGTGTCTGGCGCTATCATGACCTTGAATGGACTTTGGGTCGTGACAACATGGTATTAGAGCACTAGGTTCACTTAGGTCTCACGAGTCATGAGCAAGTCTAGTAGAGTCTTGCGGATCGGTACGAAAACGTTTGTGCTTATCTTCGAGAGGCTACATCGCTGTTAGGAGCACTTCCCTTCTTGATTCCTCATCGTGCGATTTGATTCCTTTCAGGCTTATGCCTTTTTTTCCTATTCAATCTTATGCGACGTGAAACGCTTGCTATCGATCGAGAATTGAGGAATTGTGATGGTACTACAGATGCAGTGCAGGATGTTTCTCCCTGCGTAGTTGATTGGGCTATTGCCGTCGCCTTGCGGAAGGATATTTCGTCATTTCAGCTCAGTAGTTGTACTTCTGAGAGCTCTGAGGCTATGCACAACTTGCTATGATCTTATGAGTCGTTATCGCACAGTATTGATGTAGTGGTAAGATGCTTGCCTATATGTTGGGGCAGTGAATGACTTGAAAGAAGGTTTACTCAGTGGTTGATTCAGAGATTCGGTATTTTATTTTCGGCGGAGGAAAGACAATCGGACTATAAATATTCAGGTTTGGGTTGATGGAGTAAAGAGACTTGGTATTTTCGAGCGTGATGGAATTTTCATCTGTGATGTGTGATAACTATGGATTTTAGCCTATCTTATGCTCTCTTTTGCTTAGGTTTTGGATAAAAAATGTGTAAAAGTATTCCCGAAATCAGACTTAATGTTCTTGTCTGCAGGGTTTGGTTAAAATGAGGCAAGAAAGCTATAATCAACTCATGAAGGAGTTAAAATTGCACAAGTTCAAAGCTGGGACTGAAGCGCTGACCGCGATGGAAAAGCGCGGCTGCGTAAGGTCCACCGCTAAAGCGGCCACAATTACGCGGTCCGTGGAAGTGAGATTCAGAGAAGATGTTTTGGAGACAACTGTGAGCATGTGGTTTTTGCCTCGTTTAAATTACTCCTATAGAATCCTTAGAATTAGGATTGTTTCTTTTATTATTTAATTTTTAAGAATTAATATTGCATAATTGTCGTGTTTATTTGCATGTGCATTTTTTTTTAATTTAGCATAATTCATCTAAAA